TTCTTCTTGTTGCACATTGAAGCTCTACCTGGAACCTTGTTAAGATCCAACCATGCAAAATATGATTTTTTCTGCCATTTTTCGAGTCTTAAACTTTTGATTGGGACTGTATGACCCTAAAAGAGGATATCTGTTTGTACTTTGCAGGTAGACTAAGCGTATTTGAATTCTGTTTTTATTTTCTTTACTCTCTGAGTGCTACTGTACATAGCGCCGAAGCAGCTGAAAGACTAACAATTGAAAACCATCTTTTTTTTAAAAAACGAATGTATTGGAATAATTCAGATTCTCCTGCATCTCAGTGATAGAGCTGTGAGTCTCAACTCACTTCCTGCTTTCACAAAGTCTAAACTTTATTAATGTATTAGATCTTTTCCAATCTTACTGGCCAAAACTTTTGAAGAACATCCTTTGAATAGTATATTACCTCACAATGATTTTCCTCTCACACTGCAGCATCTGTGTTTTTAGTCTGCATTGTTTAAACTTTCATCTTTGTAAAATCAGTTGCTCTGTTGACAGTACAAGTATCAATAGTTATGATTACATACCCTATTGATACTGATGTTACTTTGCCCAGTTTAGAAGCAGCTGAAAATTATCAGTGTAAAACCTGTAACCTTAACAGTGTGTTCGTTCAGTTTACCCTCCGAAGACCCGAACTCTTTCATGGCATGCATTTTTAATTTCTCTTTGCTCTTTGGGCTGATCGGGACCTGATGAATGTAAAAACAAACAATTAGCAGATTTTTTTATTTATTTATTTTTTTATCCGATTTTTGTTTCTGAGAAAAATGAGATCCACATAAGAGGACATTTGTTTTAAATTTTGATAGAACAGTAGCAGCATAACGTCCTCGTAAGTGGATATCTGACCCTTGTAGAGCAAAACTTTGTATTTTGGTCTAGACAATCCAAAATGTGATGTCCACATATGTGGACGCCAGGCGCTAGGAGGTTAACTTAATTTTATACTTTTTATATAATTTTATAGCAACTGTTGTTTTAATGCTTTTTATTATAAAGGTAAAGACCAGACAGTATTACTGAAAGAACCCTAACCATCAAATGATGCGATGGTGGGGAAGAAGAACTCCCTTTAAACAGGAAGAAACCTCACAACAGGATCGGGGAGGGGGTGAGTGAAAGAGTACGTTTTTTATACCTTAAAAACAAAGCATGACTGACTCATTTTAATACAAGCATTTATTATACTGATAAAATGAATCCAAACAGTCATTTATGATGATCATTTCTCATGAAGCAAGCAGAATGACATTTTAAATGCTACAGTTTTACAGCAGAGGATACCGAGGGCTTTAAAGTTCACAGTTAATCAAAAAGAAACACTATGTACAAATAAACAGGAGAAAATTTTCTCCTGTTTCTGAAAGGTGACCGTGCTGTCAAAATCATAGAGGAATCTAAGAGTCGAGTACATAACCTGATGACCTCTGGTGAAAAGTACAGTACAAGGAGAAGAATGAAGGTCAAAGGAATAGGACTTCCCTTCAGTTTCCATCTCGAAAGTCTGCTGCACTCATCTGAAAAGAAATAAGTAAAAGTAAAAAATGTTTTATTTTTAATATAATGCCAAATCACAACAACAGTTCCCTCAAGGCGCTTTATATTGTAAGGTAAAGAACCTACAATATTACAGAGAAAACAGAAAAACCCAAAAGACAAACTCTTGACACAAAACGTGCTGGCAGTTACAGGGTAACAGGGTTAGCAAGAAAGAAGAGCTTCATGCTTTTATTATCAATGTTCTCATTTCAACAAAATTGAGACAATTTAGGCCAAAATACATCAGGAAAATATTCTCAGCTACATGAAGAACAATGTGTCCTGTAGCCAGTGGTCTAAATCACACAGTACAGAGCTCAACATCATAGAGGCAGACTGGATTACGTGAAAAAATACAATACTGAGACCAAGCGCAGCTACTGACTCAAATAAAAATAAAAACAGACAGAAACCAGTCAAAACTCATGTCAAAAAAGGATCAGAAACCAGTTCAAAGTCATGCTAGAAACAGGTCAGAAACCAGTTCAAAGTCATATCAGAAATTGGCATGTCAGAAGCCAGCCTAAAAACCAGTGGTGCAGTTTAGTTTACTGGTTAGCAGGCACGCATGCCTTATAGCTGAAAGCTTGGGTTTGGTCGACCAGCAATCCTTTGCTTCATCTTTCCTTGCACCCTCTCACCTTCCTATCAAGTCTTGACTGCTAAACTGCCAAATAAATGTTAAAATCTTTAGAAACCCTCCCAAAATCATGCTGGACCCTAAACTTTGAAAAGAAGAACGAGGAGCGCTGTCCAAATCATGGACGGCGTTGTCCTGTCAGATGGAAAAAAAATGGAAATAAACTGAATCTACCTGGGTGGCCCACACAAGTGAGGATGACGTACTAAACACTTGAGGGAGTTTAAACATTAGTATGGCAACATGCAGCAGGTGTGTCAAAGCTACACCGACTAAACTAACACACAGCAGCGCAACACTGAAGCTGCATCTACCTGATGGTCAAAGTCTTCGAGATCCAGCAGATTGTTGGCCTGAAAGCAGACCTAGAAGACAGACAGAAACATTGTAGAGGGATAGACAACAGGAACAGCTGATGCAGTAAAGGGGGGCTGGAGCCTGTCCCAACACTAGAAACTGGTGTCCATAAAAGGAAGTCCCTTTTCAATGACATCATGCAGTGCCAAGAGGAAAAAACAAAACAAAAACTGTTTCTCCAGGGGCAGAAGGTCATTTATACTGCCATGTTTTTAAAAAAGAGACAAAGATTACTCAAAATTTCTCTCTCTTTCCATCTCTAAATGACATCAGAGTGTAAAGATTCAGCGCCAGCTGCTTTCAGACGCCATCAATATGCTCCTTCCAAGTGAGGGGAATCACTGCTGATGGGTTTTGGACAATTGTCCCCATTCAGAGCATGCAGAGCAAATTTCCATTAATTTGCATCTTTGCGTAGACAGACGACAACAGTAACATGTTTTAGGATGTTTGATCTTCAGGTTCACCCTCCTGGTTGTAACAAACTTGATGGTCTTGCTGACAGGACCTCTCGGTTTTGTGGCGACCTCGTTCACCAAAAAGTGCATGCATGCACACACACGCACACACACACACTACTGACATATTCAAGAGTGGAAACAATGAAAGTGAAGATGAACCAGAATCAGTCCAAATCCTCGGGCTCCTGCTTGACCGCTGCAGTCTGCATACTGCCACAAGGTGGTGCTGAAAGGGCCATCCACACAGAAAGCAACAAGGTGGTGACTAGAGAGTCAATGACAACCAGCAACTTCAAGTGATGATGGGTAAAACTGAGGATTTGAGGACACATGACCAATAAGCATGTGATATTAACTTGTCCGCCATTTTGTCATTGTGACGATGTAGGATCGAGCAAATAAAGTTCCACTCACACACGCTCAGAGACCAGTTGTGAGAGAGAAATCAATTGTGATAGCTGGTGGGAAAATAATTGCTAAAGCCTCAGTTAAACGGACTGACAATTTGGTCCCTG